TGTTACTTGGTGTTGTTGATCCAAATAAGAAAGAAGAAGTCCCAAAGAATAATGATTTATTTAATATTTTAACTTCTCCAGTTTCTACAAATCAACAAATAACTTCTTCTTCTTCATTAAATCAATCAATTCAACAACAACAACTCTCTAATCAACCTAATGATGTATTTGATTTTGGTGGATCTGATATAAATCAAATTCAACAACAACCTAAAGAAGAAATAAATATTAAACCAAGTGAAAATACAGAAAAATATGATGGATGTGTATGTCATAATATTAAAGAACAAATGGAAAATATTATGATAAATAATCATAACAAATTAATTTTAGCATTTGAAGGAGTATTATATCAAGATGATACTATCCAAATTGGACTTAAAAGTGCATTAGAATCACCAATGTGTAAATTTGCATTATTCTTTGGAAATAGAATTTCAGAAGAAGTTGAATTAAATTATATCATTGAATGTCCAAATGGATTAACATGTAATTCTGGTGAATATAATGGAAAAATTGGAATTAAAAGTCAAATTCAATCTATTGCTCAATTTACAATCTCTGGATTTTATTATCAATCCCCAATAATTAATATCACATATAAATCAAGTTCAATTAAAAATAAAATTGCATTCTCACTCCCATTAACTGTAAATGCATTCCTTGTTCAAGAACCATTAGAACCAAATATTTTTATGCAATATTGGAATACTATTGGTAATACCACTGAAAAGAAAAGTATTGTTCAAATGAAACAAAACAATACGATTGATTTACCAACAATTCTTGGTGGAATGAGATTTATTTGTTTAGATGTGAAACCTGAACAAATTGTTGCTTGTTCTTCATTCCCTTCTTTCCAAAATATTTATGTCTTATTGAGAATTGAAATTAATATTGCTTCAAATAAGGCGTGCATTTATGTCAGAGCTCAAGACCCTTCCCTTGCCAAAGTGATTCATAATTTATTATGTTATGAAATTGCTGCTTAAAAAAAAGACTAGAATTGAATTTTTTTTTTCATTTACATCTTCTTATTACTATGACCAAAACATGATTTTAAAGTATTCTTTTCATTTTGTTCAATCAAAACAAGCACTATAATCATCCCATAAAATCACTCAAAATTAATATAAAGAAGATTGCTTTTTCTCTATCTCATCAACTTATTTTATTCATTGAATAAAATATGAAATAAAGATTGGCATCTGTAATTGAGTTAATACATCTTAATCTTGTGAATAATGAGTGGTTGTGTTTTACTTCATACCACCAATTTAACTCTAAACGACTCCATTAAACAAACAAAACAAAAAGAACAAAAGTATGCATAAGAATTATTACTTTGTTCCATCATAGTTGTGATTAATATCATTAGTGTGTATTTGTGGTGTTCTCATTAAACTGTTGTTGAGTTTATTCTCAAAAACATGTTGTTTTATGGGATATTTTGGAACAGAACAACCAATAAAAATTGTAAAGAGTCATAAGAATAACTTTGAACAAGAGATGAAATAAAACTGAACATGATAAAGAAATGAATCACCAAAACACACAGAAGGATGAACAACAATAACAAAGGAATGTGAGCGAAGACAAGAACAAAGAATTGCCACAGAATAAAAACAAATAGTACAAAGAATAAGAGTTTTTGGAATAAAGAAAATCTAAAAAGTCGATAGAAATGGAAGATAGCATTAGTGCAGCAAAGGAAAAAGAAATACAGAAACTCAGGAATGAAAGTAAAGAATTAGACGATGAGATCTCAAGAATGGAAAAACAATACAAAGAAGATGAAGAGAGGAAATATGAGACAGAAAGAGAAGAATTAATGGGAAAGGTGGAAGAGATACTCAAGACACTTGAAAGTAACAACGAAGAACAAATGGAACAACTTATTTTACAAGCACAAAATGAATTAAAGAAAAGGATTTACCAAGAAAATGAAATTGTAGAAGGGATGAAGAGAGAAAA